GAAGTGTAAATAGATGAGATTAGATTAGGTCCTTTCCTGAAGTTCAATAAAGTTGTTGTGCAGTGCAAATTTCAGATTGTTCCTGTTATTTCCAAAAGCAGGCTCTTTTGAAAGCAAATAAAGGCCTGTAACGGCCTGGTAAGTGGCAAAACATCACTGGATGCCTTGGGATGGAGGAAAAGGAGGCATCACTTCATGGGTTTTTCCAAGCACCATCCCAAGCTTAGCCCTTCCCTGGTGGCTCAGATGGTAAAGAATCTGCCTGCAATGAGAAAGACCTGGGTTCGACCCCTGGGTTGGGAAGTTCCCCTGGAGAAGGAAATGGCAACCCACTCCAGTTTTCTTGCCTGGAGAATCCCATGGACAGCAGAGCTGGCGAGCCACAGTCCATGGGATTACAAAGAGTGGGGTGCGACTGAGCACACACATCCCAAGGTCAGTGTGGGAGAGGCTGTCTGGGGGACGCTCAGGCTAGACAGAGAACTACGTATTTTTACAGTTTTGGGCATAAGCGTGAGACGTGAACGGCAGAATGAAATAAACCACAAAGTAGGGAAACAGAAAATTCTCAGTGTCAAAACTGTGAGTCCTGGATACTGTCATCCTAGTCAAAAGTAAACCAAGGCCGGAGTTCCTGATGATCCTTCTGGGGGTTCAGTGAGCACCCCACAGTAAGGGGGATGCAGTTCCCCAGATAAAAAAGGCTGCACATGATATGATTCCATCCTTATGTGGAAATATGCAGAAGTGGTGAACCCCGAGCAAATGGGTGCTGCCAAGAGCTGGAGGCAGGGGACGGGGCTGAGTGCGTGATGGTGACCGGGTTTCTTTCCGAGCTGATGAAAATGTTTTGGAACTAGACAGAGGTGGTAGGTGTACCACACTGTAAATGTGCTAAATACCACTAACTGTAAAGTTAAAAATGGTTAATTTTATGCTATGTAGATTCTACCTCAATTTTGTTTAGTTATTTTTACATCTATAGAGTTAATTTTGATACTAATGCTACTTCCCAGTGTGGTTCTCTTCATTTCTTCCGGTGGATGCCCACTGTCATAGAGGGCCAGCCCCTAACTCTAACACATCTTCATTCTGTGCCCCTCCGCTGGGCTGTCTGTGTCAAAGAAAGATCGCACTCCTGTGTCATATGCTCAATCACACAATCTTACACTGTTTAATGCAATCATTGAGAAATTCTTTTCACTCATTTCAATTTAATCTTTTTACACAGTTTTGAAAGGTTACTTTCCATTTAAAGTTATTACAAAATACTGGCTACATTCTCTGTGTTGAACAATACTGACCTCGATTTTCAAAGCAGAGGAAGACTGGAAGGAAGGAGGGAGGGAGCGGGGGGCGGGTGGGGGGGGAAGGGAAGGAAAGAAGGGAAAGAAGGCAGGCAGGCTGTTTCAAGGAAAAAGAAGGACGTGTGTCCACAATGAGACACGGAGACGAGAGAAACGCAGGGTCCTGGGGACTCCAGGCTCTCAGCGGAACTCCAGCTGAGGCGGTCTGCTGGGGGACAGGACGGGGTGACCTGCCCGGGAGCGGGGAGGGGGCAGCAGGGGCCGCGGACAGACGGCTGGGAGCGGGCTGCAGGAGGCAATTCAGGGCTATGAGAGACTGCAAGTTAGGGCTGACAGCGCACTCGTCTGTTTAGACAGAAAAGGTAGAGAAATGCTGAGCTAGAAAGAAGGGAGGGCAGAGGCATGCTGAACTGGAAAGGAGGGGGGAGGGCTGGAAGCGCAACCAGCGGGGATGACGTGAGAGGATTCCTGAGGGAGAGCCAGAGCCTCAGTACCTGCCCTCACACGGAGGGATGCCGCCTGCGCCTGCGAACACAGCGCCCCAGTCGCCGGGGAGTGAGCCAGGGGAGAAGAGGAGGGCGGGAGGAGGAAGTCATTTAGATGCTGGGGTAGAAAACTGCTGACTCATAAGAAACTTGACCCTCAGAGGTTCCTGCTTGGCTTCAAGCAGCTTCACTATCTCGTTTAGTGTTGGGCCAAAGATCACAGCCTCTCAGTAACAGCCAATTAACCCGCACATTCATGACGGAGATCTAGTCACAGACTGCCTTATCACCTGCTTCAGAGTAAAGGCCGGATACCACAATCGATGCATCCACGTTTACTAAGCACCTCTGTGTGCTAGACCTGGGCTCCCAAGCCAGCAGGGCACAGACTCTGCCTTCCAGGGATCCTGGGACACACAGCAGGATTATTTCTCTGCTGTCAGAGGGGCTGGGGGGTCTGGATGGCTTCCTCGTCATAGTGGACAGTAGAGAAAACCTGCACTTAGCCAAAAAGGCCTGTGGTCAAATCTCAGTTCCACTTGTAACTGCACTTGTGACTTAATCATTTGAGGGCCTCAGTTTTCTTACCTGTAGAATTGGGGATGCCATCTACTCAAATGGTGGATAGAGGAATAAGTAAAATAGTGCCTGAAATGTATCTAGGAAAACTGTTGGCTAGAGTAGGTTCTTGACATAAAGTCGCTGTTTTTAATTAAATGTGAACCTGTGGGGTGTGGGAAGTGCATTCTGACCAAAGAGGAATGGCCTGGGGACAGAAGCTAGAGAAAGCATAGCTCCCGGGAGGTGGAACTACAGGGTGGGGGCTGGGTGAAGTACAGGTAATGTAACAGATTATGTAATAAGGGAGGCTCAGTAATAAGGGAGGCTGGGCAGAGGCTGGGGACCTGCCTGCAAGGGAAGGGGCACCTCCGTCTATGCTAAGGAACTGAGCTTGACTTTGTGGGTAGGAAGGACCCGACCCCCTCTGCCACAGTCACCATCAGCTCTCTGGCACCTTTTACTCTCCAGACCTTTACAGAATTGACAGACATCACCTCTAGGACACTGACACGCTTTGATGAGGGAGTCTCACTTATACTGCTCGGACAAAGGAATGTAAACTGGTTAATGAACTCAGGAATTTCTCAAGTATCTGCTGAGTGAACATCTGTTCTAGATGCCAAAGGAATAAATGGAAGTTTATGATTTTTGCTGGGGGATAACAGACCCACAAAGTGGAAAAGCCACTTTGCAGGAAAAGCCAAAACGAGTGGGGACAACAAGTCTGAGAGTGCTTTGAGAAAGCTCAAACTGGTGGGCAAGGCTTGTCCTGAAAGGATTTCCTATGGTTGGGGTCTCTTGACTTCTTCCATCAGATACAGGTGGTTAAGACACACATTGTTCAGAATTGCAGATGCACAGTGATAATAAAAAGCAGACCTATTTCTGGTTGATTTTATGGGGCTTAAAACTTTCCAAAGACAAGGTGCCACCTATTTCTTGCAGCCAGGATCCCCTCCTCCTTTTGAAATTTAGGTACACTGTCTCTGAGACTTAGTTTCAGAATTGGCAAAAGGGGATAAACATGTGAGGGGGTGAAATGAGACCATGTGTAGCGAAAATGCCTCTAGGCCCAGGGTTAAACACAGAATACAAACTTAACAAGAGCGCCTTTTCTTCTCTCATCTTCTTTTCTTCTCTCCCTCACAAAGTGCTCCCAGAATCCAGGGTAGATGAATTGGCCAATGTTATTCAGCTCTATCTATAACAGCATCTTGGCATGCACCATGCAGGCTGATGTGTGTAACAAGTGTGGGGAACAGCAGTCTGAACTTCACTCCCTAACAAGAGGCCAAAAACCTTCCTAGGGAATCCACTGCGAAGAAAGGGGACACAATGGATGCAGCATCTGTATAAACCTACTCTCTACCACACCATCCAAATCTCAAACAAAAATCTGTTAAGAGCACATCCCAGAATAAATCTATAAAGTGATATCTGACATCAGTGTCAACAGATGCAATTTTTCAGTTCTCTGCTTTTCCAAACGTCGCAAGAGATAATGTGCATGTTATCCACACCCACGCCAGAAGTTGCTGCAAAACTCTGGGCCTCTCTGTTCTGAAAAGCATCACCTCCAAACTCACCCAGAGCAAAGATGGAGAGCAGAGAAAAAAAAAAAAAACACAGTTTCTGTGGGCTTGTCACCTCTCCGTCTCCAACTGCCTGTATTCCTTCCAAGTTGTGAAAACAATACGAAGTACACAATGTCTCACAGATAATAAGAAAAACAACTAGCATTTGTTACTACGTGGAATAAAAGTAGCGGATCTGAAAGCTTACAGAGTTCTATCGGTATAAAGAAATAAAAGCATTTCCCCCCTCCCTTTCTATCTAGGCTCTTTCCAGGCTAAAAACAACTTTTCTGCCCTGTTGTTTTTTTTTTTAAGGGGGAGAGGCTGGAAAATGCATTTATTTGCTCGGGCAGCAGATACTTAAAAATACACGCAGGGCACAGTAATCGCTGTATTCTAGGTGAGAAACCTCCACCTCCCAGCAGATCAGAAAAGGAACTGGTTTCATCACACAGGGGCTGAGGAAGCCGGCTGTGAGGAGCTGGGTTGCTGCCCCCACTCACTTGGAAGACTGGGTCCTAGGGAACAAGAAACAAAGCCTGCCGACCACCGCCTCGTGGCTATGCAGTGACCACTCGGCGTCCCGCGCCACGACCACCCCTGATACAAGGCCTTGTCTGCGCCCGGCGGGGCGGCAGGTCCTGATTCTCCACTGAACGGGCCACGGGACCAGGCTTTTCTCTACACCCCTCTCCTCGCCTTCAAAATGTGCAAGAAAAGCCGTCTGAACAAAACAAAACTTCAGCGGGAGCGGTTCTCCACCTCATCTTGGGGAAAAAAAAAACACACACCCGGATCGGCTATTGGTGGAGCCACGTAAAACCCCTTTCTTTTCGGGGTGGTCCTGGGAGAAACAGGCCCCGCAGTGACAACAAACGCAGCGAGGTCCCTCGGCTTCCCCGAGACAGCCCGAGCCCTCCTGGTCCACCCCCCACACCCTGCGTGCTCCAGAAGTCGGTGCAGAGAGGTCCGGGCCGAGCCCGCCGCGGGCTCCCGGAGAAGGGGCGGTCAGGGGGAACCCCCGGGGTCCCGCGGAGGCCGGGCGGGGAAGGAAGGCCGGGGCCCGCGCTCACCTGTTCCGGGGCCTCGGGTGCGGGCCGACACCAGGGGGCTGCACAGGCCGAGCCCCGCGGCCCAGAGCAGCAGCCACCGCGGCCCCATTGTCCCGGGGCTCCGCGCGCTCGGCGGGGCCGGGGCGGCGCGGCTCGGGGAGGCTGGCCCGCCGCCCGGAGGCTCGGGCAGCGCGCGCGGAGTCTAGAGGGCGGCCGCGCGGGCAGACAGAGCGCTCGCCTCTGGGCAGGACGAGGCGGTTCGGCGAGTCTGGCGGCGCCGGTCGGGAAAACGGGCCCCGGGGGCGCGGGCGGGGGCGGGGCGCGCGAGCGCCGGGCTGGGAAGGGCGCCCCCCGGTGGCCAGTGTGCGCCTCGGCGCGGCCGCCGCCCGCCCGCGGTCCCTCCGCCGTCGCCGGGCCAGCCGGGGCTCGGTGCTCCAGCCTCCTTCTCTCACGCTTTGGGCCGCCCGCCCCGCGGGGGGAACCCGAGTGAGAAGTCGTTTCCTCGGCCCGTCGACTTGGGCCCGCGAGCTATCAGCCGCTCACCCGGGGAGCACGGACTTGAGCCGAGAACCTCGGGTCAGGGCCGCGCCCCAGGGCGCCAGCCCCGCGGCCCCCACCAGCCCGTCCCTCGCCGGGCCCGACTCCGGCCGAGCGCTGCGCCGCATTGGGAAACACGGGGGTTTGGCCACAGGTGTTGAAGCGACTTGTGCTTTTGTAACTCGGGGTTAGTGGATTTGAAAGTTTATACTGTAGATACGGGGTGGCCCGCTGATGAGAAGAAGCTCTTCGCGTTGAACAGAATTTTTGACGCTTCTTATTCGCTTGCCTTGATTGCGCTCCTTAGATATTTCATAGGTCGGGCACTTAGTTCTTTGACACGCGGGCTGCGAGTGGGTGGAGAATCATCCGGTCCCAGGAGCCGCCTCTGCGCCCTCGCGCTCGGGCACGGCTGCGGCTCTTGGCTCTGACCCGAGCTCAGCGGAGGCGCGCGCCGGCTCCACCTGCGCCGCGGGGCCGGCAGGCGGGCGGGCTGGGCTTTCCCCGCGCCTCGTGAGCGCCGAAGCGCCCGGGAGACTTGAGGCGGCTCACAACTTCCCGGGTTTGATAGAGTTCGGCCAAGTTCAGGGCGCAGGGCGGAGACCCTCGAGCTTCTGGCCGCGGGCGCCCTGGAGGACGAAGCTCCGCGGGCAGCAGCGGGCCGACGATTTCGTTTGGAGAGCGTGTCTGCTGAGCGCGTCTTTCAGACCGCAAAGGGAAGCGGGTCCCCTCCAATGGCCTTTCTGAGAAAGTTTGCCCGCAGCTCCTTCTCCTCCCAGACGTGGGGGTGTGTTCTGCACCCTGGGGCTGATAAACTGCTGTTGAGACTCACTTGTCGGGTTTCTAAGCTTTAAAAAAGCTATACCTCGAGGAGAGCCCTGAAACCTAAACCCGCCAAGACCACCTGGTTGTTCCCTGTTTCCCCGCATCGTTCTCAGCGCACAGCGCCCTGTTGTACACAGACGTTGCTCAGTAAATTACTGAATAACCTAACTAAATTACGCTATTAAAAATGCTTATTCAATTCTCCGAGGAAAATATATCCAAGAGTAGATGTAAACCATGAAAATCACGTATTTCTCCACTCTATCAACATTCTATTTTTTAACATCCCTCCCTAAGATGCCATTGGTTTTAAAAAGTCATTTTAAGTACCACAAGCAAGAAAAAAAAAAAAAAAAGACGCTGCCAAACTGTGACATACCTTTGCTTGTAAGAAACACCTCAAATTAGGACTGTTTAAACACGAAGAAAGAACATCTCAGAATCAATGGTGGTGGTTTAGTCGCTAAGTCCTGCCCAACCCTTGCAATCCCACGGACTGTAACCCATCAGGCTCCTCTGTCTTTGGGATTTCCCAGGCAAGCATACTGGAGTGGGTTGTTATTTCCATCTTCAAGAGATCTTCTCCACCCAGGGATTGCACCTCAGTCTCCTGCATTGCAGGATTCTTTACTGACTGAGCCACACCAGGGAAGCCCCCAGAATCAATGAAACACAGTGTTAAACATAAAATTAATACATGCATCCAAATATGACAGTTCAAGAATATAAAATGAAAACTATCTTCAGCCTTCCCTTCTAAGAACCATATCTGCATGATGACCACTGTTTAAAGTTTCTGTCCATTACTCAAGAAACTGTAATCACGTACAGATATATAGATATGTGAAAGTGAAAGTCAGCTCAGTCCTGTCCGACTCTTTGTGACCCCATGGACTATACGGGAATTCTCCAGGCCAGAATACTGGAGTGGGTAGCCTTTCCCTTCTCCAGGGGATCTTCCGAACCCAGGGATCGAACCCAGGTCTCCCACATTGCAGGCGGATTCTTTAGCAGCTGAGCCACCAAGGAACCCCATGCATGTATGTATAGCCTTGAAAATGAAAACATTCTGAGTACACTTTTATTTTATTTTATTTATTTATTTTTTTAAGAACAAAGACTTTATTTCAAACAGGTTCAGTGGTATGTCTACTACAGCAAAGTCTGGTTGTAGCAGTTTCCTTTCAAATCTGCACTGACATATAAATTAGACATTATTTGGGAATGATTAATTTCTGGTAAAATGTAAATTCAATCCAACATGATGCTAATTTCTACATTTATTGTAGGCTCTATTTCAGTACTAGAGGTTAAATTTTCATCACCAAAAAATGAGAATAACCTTACAGCTACTATAAGGTAATGAGCTGTGAAATTACTTTCCCAGTATTGTTCTGAAAATATACCCCTAGGTTGTTAAGAGAAATTCCAACTGCATCCAAATCTGTTATTTAATTCTTCAGTCATCGTCTACTGTTGGCTTGATTCTCACTCGTCTTCTTATTTGACCCCAACCAATTAAACGCCAGTGTTTCTCAACTCTTCGGCTAAGTGCAATTTTTTCTCCTACTTCTGTGCACACAGCATTAGTCAAGACGATTTTGCCCAAATCAGCCTTGACTGCACTAACTCTTCCTCCTGTTGACAGGGATCCTATATTCACCATAAGCACTTCATTCTTAGACAGCTTTTGTACTTTCGCTGCTTTTTGTCTCCTTCAGTGCAAACACCTAGAAGCCGTCTAAGCAGGAAATAGGAAATTTCCAATTCTGTGAAGGTCTCAGGTAAAGCACCAACTGCACCAAGTACTTGCCCCACCATTCTGTCAGCCCGGCACAAAGTGGGGTCAGTTTTTGTTCCAACTCCAATAAGACCACCTGGGGCAGCATACTGAAGATCATTATGCTCTGCGAAAAGCGATACAATTTTGGAAAAGATAGGTTTACACATGAGTTTTCCTTCACTGTCTTTGGAAACAATACCAGGTCTGACTTCTATCTCCTGGCCCACCTTTAACACTCCTTTTAGAATATTACCACCAGCTACACCCCCCTTAAGGTCATCAACTTCACAGCCAGGTTTGTTGACTTCAAAGGATCTAATAATAATAAGTCTGGGTTCTGAAGTAAAGTCTCTTGGGGGTACTGTAATTTTCTTTACTATGTACTCACAGACAACTTCAATATTGTATTTTAGCTGAGCAGAAATTGGGATAATAGGAGCGCCTTCTGCTACTGTACCTTGAACAAATGCAAGGATCTGTTCATACTGTTCTTTAGCCTGGCTTTCTTTTACCAAATCAATTTTATTTTGTAGAATCAAAATGTGCTTCAGTTTCATGATTTCTATAGCAGCCAAGTGTTCAGATGTCTGAGGCTGAGGACAAGACTCGTTACCAGCTATCAATAGAAGAGCGGCATCCATCACTGCGGCACCGTTCAGCATAGTAGCCATCAGAATATCGTGGCCAGGACAGTCAACAAAGGAAACATGCCTGACTAATTTGAAGTTCCCTTTGGTCCCTGGAATGTCTGTAGGAAACTCATCGGGTGTGCTACTTCCACAGGATCTGTAACATTCTGGCCGAGGACAACTTGGGTCCTCAAGTTTATAAATCTTAGCATTAGCATAGCCAAGTTTGATTGTAATATTTCTTTCCAGTTCATTTTTGAAATGGACATTGTGGACTCCAGAAATAGCTTTTACAACTGTAGATTTCCCATGAGCTACGTGACCAATTGTACCTATATTAACTGTGGCTTGTCTGCTGATAACTTCATGTGAAAGTGGCGTCAACTTGGAAACATCCAAAATAGCGAGATCTTGCCAAGAAAGGTGCGGCTGCCCTAAAGTCACACCAGCCTCGCCCCCCGCCATCTTGCCCGGAGAGCCTGAGTACACTTTTAAATTTTATCTGTTTCATTGGTAGAGAATGTTTTTAACCATTTTCTAAAACTGTGAAGTTTAAAATAACTTCTTTTTTTTTGCCTTAGTTATTAGAACAGAGCCTGGTAGGCACAGTCCATAGGGTCACGCAGAGTCAGACGTGACTGAAATGACTTAGCACATTAGAACAGAATGTGCCTCTAGTGACAAAAAAAAGAGCTTTGGAAATAATGAAATGCTTAAATTCTTTGTGGGTATTAACTGAACCATCCTTTAGGGTGGGACTGAAATACACCGAGCAAAGAAGAGTGGAACAAAATGAAGTATTTCCTCCTCACTTGGATTGCTAATTGAGCAGCCACCAAAAATTGAACTTGCCTTCAAAAACTTGCCTTCAGAAACAGTGGTTTTGACTTATAGCACACAAGTGCAGGCTCCTGGAGCCCATCCGAGGCCTATGAAATCAGATTCCGCATTTTTACAGGCACCCTCAGGTGATGGGTAGTATCTGAGGGGTTGCAAACCAAAGTTTTCAGTAACAACATTCTAAGATAGGAAGATCCCCTGAAGGAGGGCATGGCAATCCACTCCAGTATTCTTACATGGAGAATCCCATGGACAGAGGAGCCTGGTGGGCTACAGCCCACGGGGTCGCAAAGAGTCAGACACGACTGAAGCAACTAAGCACGCATGCATGCACATTCTAAGACGGGGTTCTCAATCGCCCTGGTCAGATTCATCCTGGGAGGCTTGTTAATCCCCCTCCCCCGCATTGCTAAGTTCCATTTCTAGATTCAGTGGGTCTGGGAAATGGACGGAAAATTTGCATTTTTAACCAGATCCCAGGTGATGCTGAGGCTG